TTTTCACAAAACCCCATTTCTCACCAGAAAACTCAACCTGTGTATTTGTGCATCATATTCCTAGGCAGTGCAGAGAAAGGACAGAGCAGGACAGTCTTGTGTCACATGGATACTGCTGGCTCTTTCTGCTCACCTTTATATTAATTCTCTTATTGTATTACATTCTCTGATGGAAAACATACCTCTCTTTCTTCTCAGTTCAACTAACACCTTATCTTCTCTCCATTGTAGCCTGTGGTCATCATCTCACCTCCTTTCTTTCCCAAGAGAAAGAAGTATGCTTTCTTCACCAGAGCTCTGACATTCCAAACTTAGCCAATGTCATTATCCCATTGTAGGAGAATTCCTTATAACTTCTCACATTAGGTAAATATCTTAGCATTGTCTTTATTTTACCTTGATTTAAATATGTTAGAATGATCCAGGATTTTAGATATCAGACTTCATTGACTTACCCAACAACCAACATGTTTAGGTGTTTAATATATGATTATAAACTGAACAACCTGGAGAGCAAGAAGAAAGTACTATTGTGTTGTCAAGATAAGCTAAGTTTGTGGCAGTAACAAACAAACTCCTAATTTTAAATACTGATAACATCAGTTGTTTCTCACTTGTGCATCATAGTTGGTAGAGACTGTCTCATGTCCCTTCACTTGGGATTCAGGTAAAGGGACAGTGTCCACTACCAAGAGTGTAACCGGTTACTATATCTGGGGGTTGGAAGGAATAAATTACACATTAGCTCGTAAAGTTTCCACATAGAACTGATAGCCTTTGTTTCTGTTCATATATGGCTCCTATTACTTCAGCTTTCATTTCACTGGACAAAGTAAGACAGATCCCCATATCTTAAGTTAATGATAGGGAGAACTACAATGCTACCTTGTGCAGGAAGAGAGAGAACCAGACTTCACCTTTCTTTTTCAATGTATAATAAAATTTCCCTGTGATAACGATGATAAAATTGCCTTGGTCCTGAAAGATGCTTCTTTTCCCATGGGAGAGGTCAGTGGATCCTCACCACATGCTCTTGGTTGCTGTAGTACCAGAGGAAGAGAACAGAGCCCCAGCTGTCATCACACTCTTGCTAAAGCTGTCTTTGCTCAGTGTCATTGTCTAAAGAAGCTCTAATCACATCCCTCTCTGGCTTCCAGTGAGACATTTATAGGACTAATCTCATCATTGCTCACATCTCTGTTTCCCTAAATCATTCTCAAGTTCAGGCATCCCAAATAACCTATCATAATAGAGACATTCAATCCCCCTGCTGTAAGCTCATCCTGTCTTCCATGTTCTACTGCTCTTTCCCAGTAAATTCACATTTCCTCTTTTATAGACACCTGCTTCATATTCTTTTTCTTTTTCTTCTCAAAAGTCTCTCATGTCCCATGGGAAGAATAGATGAAATCAGATAAGAACTACCTCATCTTTTCATCATTCAATCAAATCACATCCAGTTGCCCCTGTACCTATATTTTCCACCTTCCATCTTATTAAAAGGGATTATGTTCCACACCCAGTTAATGCTAACTGTCTTGAAGATGCCCTGCATCCAGTTGCTTTGTCCTTCTTATGAACATTCTTTTATAATTACTCATTTTTCCTCCTGTATTGTCAATCTCTCTAATAGGTTATCCTAGTAAATATGTGGTTTTCTAGCATTCATTTAAAGAATACCCTTGTTTTATATGGATTGAAATCTGTAGAAAAATGGGAGAGTGGGGGGGGGTAGAGGGGTAAGGAGGAGTAAAGGAAGGGGGATAAATGGACCAAAGTAAAGTATACTCACAGCGGAGATACTTTGAGAAACCCCTTTGGATATTAACTTAGATACTAATAATGAAAGACAGGACTGTAAAATAGGGGGGAGAGTGAACAAAGGAGATTAAGGTGAGGGAATATGGTTGATGAACTTCATATACTTATATGAAATAGAACGAAGAAACCTCTTGCAATAGATTTAAGTGGGGTATAGAGGGGGGTTGAAAAGAAGAGATGGTGGGGCTGATCTAACCAATGTACAATATAAGCCTATATGGAGTTATCACAATGAATGCCCCCCTGTACAACAAACATGTCCTAATAAAAAATTAAAGGGAAAAAATAAAGAATACCCTTGTCTTCATGCCTCCTTCCACCTGCTGCTCTATTTCCTTCTTCTCTCTGCAGAAAAATACCTTGAAGGAAATTTTTATCATTCTCTGACAATCTTACCTCCTATCCTCTACTTTACTTGCTTCAATAAACTTGCTTTTATTTTTATCATGCTACTAACATATTTTGGACAAATGTTAACAATAATAATAGTTAACTTACAGAAGAAACGTAATGTTCTGAATACTCATTTAATCCTCATCTTAACCTTATAAAGATGTTGTTAATAATATCCTTATTTAGACTTAAAAAAAAGCTAGGCTGAGTGCCTGATTAGCAAGTACATGTCACATGTCAAACCTCAAAAAACCTCAAATATCAAATTTAACATGACCAAAATAAAAATAAGGATATCCTAACTCTACCCATCTTCTATTTTTTTCTTTTTTCTTTTTTTTTCGGTACTGGGGACCAAACTCAGGGCCTTGCACTTGCCAGGCAAGTGCTCTTCCACTGAGCTAAATCCCCAGCCCCTTCACCCATCTTCTGCAAACTCTCTTTCCTAGGCCTTCTCTACCTATCAGAGCCATTATCTTCTAATTATTCCTTCCAAGTTTAGGAGTAATCCTTCATTCCTGTTTCCCTTTCAGACCACCTTCAGACCATTGGCAGATCAAACCTCCTCTGTACTGAATTATTCTACATTGGCTCCTTCTTGTCCTCTTTGCTGCAGTTGGTCAAGTGCAATTTCCAACCTTTATCATCTAGACTCATACAACCACTGATATCCACTCTTTCTTTTCTCATTTCAATCTCTAATGAGAGGCCTGAGTAAACTCCGAAAGCATAAATGAGACAATTCTATTTTTGTCCAAAGGCTTTCCCTTGTAAGAAGAGTAAGATACAACTTCTTCACCAGAGCCTCCATGACCTGCCTGCATTTCGGACACTTCTCTCTCAAAATCATCCATCCAGTCACACTCCAGGAACTTGGGCCTTTTTGCTATCCTAGGAATATGCCACCCTTTTCCCTATTTTAGGACTTTTTCACTTTCTACTCCTTCTTCAGTTTGAAATGTTCTTCCTTCCTTAGATCTTCATAATGGATGCTTCGATCTTATAGCTCAGCTTATCGTTCAGGTGACTTCCTTAGAAAGGCTTTTGCTGAGACTTCCAAAGATGGATGTGCATTCCTTCCCTGCCCTGTTACTGCAATCACTAATGTAACCCCTACTGTATTTCCTTCAAGGAGCTTAAAAATGTAATTGTTACTTAATCTTTAATTTAGGTGCTTATTTGTTGTTTTATCCCCAGGAATATAAGACCTTTGAGGATAGGGACATACCATGGCCCTCTTAGTTATTGGTGCTCAGTACTCTGAGCAATGCCTGATGTGTGGTTTTCATCTACTTAAGATGTCACTAAGTGAAGTACGGTATTTACAGTATAACTTCTGTAAGTAACATAAAACACTCAGTAAATTAGTTAAACTGACTCAGGTTTAATTAATAAGGTGTTTTCTAGAGTCCAAGAGGATAGGAACAGAAATCTGGCTTTTAATTTTTTAGCTTGTGTACAGATAAATTTGTGCTTGAATCAAACGGACGAAACATCCCCATTCATATCTATAGTAGCAGAAAGATCTCTGTGGCATTGGAAATGCTATTTGCCTTTTGAAAGTTCTCTTGGGGATTGCGTCTCAAAGCTGGGTGTCACACCTGAGTTTCTTGGTCTCACATGGAGGGATTAGAGTTGGATGATATGATTTACTTGTTCTTAGAAAACCTAAGCAAGCTCTCTAGCCTGAGGTACTTCACATTACACTTTTTCTCATCTCCAAGAGGAAGTGGGTGTAATATGCTTATAAATTTAATCAAAGTCAGAGCTCCTACTTTTCTATTTACATTTGTGTTTTTATATCAAGCACATATTTTAAATTTCCAAAAGCGTCATCTTTCAGCAAATGTTTGAATTTAGGCTGTTTCTATTTTTAAGATATGAAACTTATGCTTTATCACTTCATAGTAGGGTTAACACTCTGAAGAAGAAATGTGGGGAAAAAACCAACAAGGATGAAGACAAACTAGAGTCTTATCAAAGTGTAGCAAGTGAGGTCCAAAAATTTCAATCACCCAAGAAGCTTCAGTAACCTCACTTTGAGATTAGAAAAATGATTCTGGGAGCCTGACACTTATGAGACTGGGTTTCCAGGTGGCTGACTGCCAGATGTAATCCATCCATTTCTGGTTGCACTTGTTGCCATTTGGTGGCAGTTGTATGCACAGGCAAAATGGAAAGGAAAGATTCTGGGTCCAGAGATTGCCTGGGACTTCTAAAAAAATGCTGTCAATTTTAAGACTCTTAAAATTAGTTATTTTCCAAGGAATGTGGGTAGAAGAATACTGAGGGGTGCTCACACTCTGCCCCTTGCTTCTTTAGAGTGTGTTCTCTGCCTGGTTCTCATATTCTCCCCCTAAGGAAGACCATAACTGTTGTCAGCACCCACCTGCTTTGAGAATGGAGCTGGCCTCACCCACTGTGGGGCAATTTTTTCAAGGTTTACTTTGATTAACACACCGAGCAAAAAGGCATAAAAAAGTCATAAGCAAATAAATGTTTTTGATGGTACCATGTATTGCCTCTGTAATTCACACTGCTTTACAGCTCATTCTAATCTAATCACTAATTGTTCCTGCTTCGCCAAGCATTTACTGACAGAAATGCTCTCCACTCTTAGGAAAGAAATCGAATCTGCATTATGGAATTAGCATTGCTGTATTTCTAGTTTCATGCATGGTAGATCCCTTACGAGCTATATTTAAAGTACTTCTAATTTGAAAAAAGGGAGGGACATGTCCAAAGCTTTCTCAATGTTGTTTTTATCTTTGTTTGTGTTTGCACAGCTCACCATGTTAAAACGGGAACTTGCGAGGTGGTGGCACTCCACAGATGCTGTAATAAGAACAAGATAGAAGAACGGTCACAAACTGTCAAGTGCTCCTGCTTCCCTGGGCAGGTGGCGGGCACCACACGAGCTGCTCCATCTTGTGTGGATGGTGCGACTCTCCCATTGCTCATTGTGATAGCATGGCTGGGGCTGCTTGGGACTGGAACCCCACTATAATTCCATTGACTGGAGTCAATCCTAGGGGACCACACTGTAAATCATCTGACTGAAATGAATCTATTTTGGGGGAGGAGGGAGGACATTTGACTCTAAAATACTTTACATGAGATGCTAAGATCTGATGCAATTCTGTTATGAAATGCATTATAATGAGGTTCCATTATGTCAAAATGCTCTTATTTTGATACTATGATTTCCTGGAGGATGGCAGAGGGAGAAGTGTATATTAACTGGAAAGGCAAGATGAAAATACATGGTTTAGGAATATTAGTTCCTAAACCCATGGATAGTTCTTAAGAATGAAAAAATCAACACCATGTGTATGAGTGAATATTTGACTGCAGATAGATAACATATAAAGATGCATGAAAATATTAATTTCCTTCTTTGAGGGACTACCTAATTATAGTAGAATAGAAATTTTATATGGGTCTATTTAATTATTGCCATAAATAGTGATTTCTTAAGTGATGTATTCCTTGTGATGAGGTTACTGTTTATGATTTAAAAAAAAAGAAAAATGTGTAACATTCTCCTGATATTACATTGATTCTAAAATATTGATTTGAAACTGGTTGTGGGTCCATTTTTTATATATTTATATAAATCAGGGCATGCACACATTCACATAGGCTCCTTTTCCATATGTTAGTTCATGAAGCCTGTATTTTCATGTGAAAACCCTTCAGTACTTTGGTTATAGTTATCAATGTTGTATTGTGAACCTAGAAATTTATTCATATTGTAGATCTTATTGTTAATTATTTTTATCACAACAAACTAAATGTTGAATAAAAAATTGTAGTAATAAATCTCTTAGGTCAGTGACTTTTGTTCCTCTTTAAATGTACCTCAGAGAACTACCAGTCCCGATAGAAAACACTGAGTTGAGTTTTTTCTCTTGTAGCTTCCATAGTGGAACAGAAATGGTGGTGTCATATGCAGCCATGTTTGGAGGGAGAGGAATGTAAAGTTCTTCCAGACCGGAAAGGATGGAGCTGTTCTTCTGGGAATAAAGTGAAAACGACTAGGGTAAGTGGACAGACAGCTTGGGCAAGCAAAACATCTCTGAATTAGAGGATGGGCACATTTAAGTGGTGGTTGAAGAATGAGAGAATATATTACATTTGCACAGTATATGTTTCCCATTTTTTCCTTAATTCATGTTTCCATAGCACATTTTTATTTCAGAATAACATCTTCTATAGATTATCATCAACTGTCATGCTCTCTGATAAATGAACACTGTTCCTTCATGAGATACTACCAGTAATGTGAAACCCCCTGAGGATGCATGTTGAGTGCAAGGAGAGGTGACATCAGTTCCTATTCTTCTGCTGTAAAGCAATCTGAATAAATTCTGAAAAAGAAGAATGTAATTTATGTACTCCATAAAATTTTCCAAATATGGCTCTTTCTGTTTTCTGAAAGTAATTATTTTGATCTACCCAATTTCTGCATCATTATATAGTTTTCTAATGGTAAAATTTATAGTCATTGTAATGGGTGACTAAGAGGAATTTCAGAATCTCGAGGTCAATACAAAAGGAATACTCTGAAGATAGTTGATGTGTTTCAGCTTTGCACACAAACTGAAAAGGTGGGAGGTGGAGGGAGTGGGAGAAAGGTAAAAAAATTATTCTTTAATTTCTTAATTAGCTACATAGGTATTCTGGATGGGCAGAATTTGCATTCCTTTTTTTGGCAGAATTAACAAATTCAAGTTTCTGTCTTTTGTTTTGAGAGAAATCAGGCCATTGATTAGAGTTGGATGATTAAATAATAGAACAGAATGATAGTAGTGGAAAATTTTCTAAAGAGTAACATTGAACTAGAAACTGGTTGTTTTAGGATTGTTTAGCTTAAAAGCTTTTAAACATTTCTGCACCTATTAAAGGTATTTCTTTATTGTCCCATCCAGATATATTTCAGTCTATCAAATAATGTCAGTGCATTGAAGTATTGAAGCGACCATACTTCAAATAGCATAAATAAAAACATCATTTCTTGACTCTAGTTAGTTCAGTGTTGACACATCTTTCCAAAATCTATTAAATGCTTAAGCAGTTAGTTAGAATAATTGTTTTATCCATTTAGTTTGCAAAAGATATAATTCATACTGATTTATTAAAAAATATTTTGACAATATAAAACTTCCTTGTAAGCTAGTTATACCATGAATTTATTTGTTTTCCTAAAACTGTTGTCAGTCAAAAAAGAAAAAAAAGAAAAAAATGTCATGGAAATTCACTAAAGAATTGAGATTCTGAACCAAATGAAAGAAAAGTGAGCTCTCTGGCCATTTTCAGTGAACAAGGGGAGGTTAATATTTATTGAATATATATACTAAACAAATTGCCATTAATGAATTAACTCATTTGGTTCTCTTAATGGTCCAATGAAGAAAATAGTATTTTTTTTTTTACAAATGAGTAAACCAATACTTCAAAAAATGACTTCCCAAGTCATTGATCAATTGGGAAACCAGGATTCAAGCCACATAGTTCCATTCTAAATCCTGTTCTCCTAACCTGTGTTTTGTACTTAACTTAGGATTTAATTTGTTCATAAGTAATAATGATAAAAGTTTTCTATAATTCTTTATCTATGAGGGAGACCTTTAAAAATACCTTTAACTTTCTAGATCATTGAAATGAAAAGGTCAAGATCATGTTATTTAAATTCTCATGAAGAAAACTTAGAAGTGCTATTTCACTCCTTTTGGCTATATTCTCAATTAAAATTGAGCTCTGCTTCACAAAATTCTTTCCAATGTAATGAAACAAGATGGATGAGAGACTGAGGAGTCATGAGTAAGGCAAACCACAAACTGTAGGTCCTGCAGTTTGTTATAGTGATATGATATTATCCCACATACATTGGATAGAACTTCTTATTTTTCTTTCATTTCTTCTGCCCTAAAGAACAGCAGATAATGGGGAACCTTGTAAAAGTTAGTTTTAGAGAGAATTTATGCAACAGAATGTGCTTGGATTAAATTTTGTTTGTCTGTGAAGAGTCTATGAGTCCCATCTTTAAAAGAAAAATAATCATGTGTAAGAAAATATGAGAGACTTTAAAGAAGGAGCTTCTTGAGTAAATTACTAATGTCTTTTTTTCCCCTCATAAGAAAAACTATTGTTGGTTACAAAAAATACAAAGAGCATACTTAGAAATTTTTAACTAAAGAAACACCATAGCATTCAAAATGGCTAGGCAAAAATGTAAAATTATGGGCTAGGCATGGTGGCACATGTGTGTAATTCAGTTACTCAGGAGTGGAGATAGGAGGATCATTGTTCTGAGGCCAGCCTGGACAAAAGTTAGTGAAATTCTGTCTCAAAAACCAGGGAGGCGAGTTGAGGCACGTTATACTTCCAGCTATTCCAGAGGTGGAGGTAGGAGGATCAGGGAGGTAGGAGGATCAAGAGTGAGGTCCTATCTGAAAAACAAACTAAAAAACAAAATAACTGAGGCCATGGCTCACACTATAAAGTGATTGCTTGGCAAAAACAAGGCCCTGAGTTCAATCCCTAGTACCACAGAAAATAAATAAATAAATAAATAAATAAATAAATAAATAAAAATCCTTGGAATAGCTCTTGGCACAATATTACTTTGCCCCCCTCCCACCCTGGGATAGTGTTAGAGGTAATTTCCACCATACATAAAAACCAATGATATTATTCAGAAGAAACCTGAATCATTATTTTATTCATTGGTATTAATTTCCACTTATCACTGTTGAATAAGGTAGCGATGGCTACTGTGAGTCAAGAAACCATTACAGTCCCTGATTTGGCAGGTGCAAGATACAAAAGAGAAGGCCAGAAGTTAAGCAGAAATAGGTTACAAAATAACTCAGGAACTACTCTCAGCCAAAAGCAATTTGTGTTTCTTCCTGCAAGAAATGTTGGTCATATGGGAGTATCACTGCAAGCAAAATGGCTCCAAAAATGATTACACTTTGCAATAATGTATACCCTCTCTTATAATTGCCCATGTTCAATCTGGAGTGCTTGGGTATGCCTAATGATAGAAAAAAAAAAAAAAAGCAGTCAGCCAAAACCAACAATGAGGTCTGTGTAGAGATGAGTGGTAGCTTCCATAATTGACTACAAATCAGGGGCTGGGAAAATTCATTTAAGACCTATTTGGATCCTCTACTGTACTTGCTACAGATGTGAATTATATCCTCCTTTTTGTATTATATTCAGAAAGCTCTTTTTGTACTGACCCATTTTCTGTCCTAAAAAGAGGGAAAGGCAAGGAACAGACAGCCCTTTTTATAGCATCAATTTTTTGTTCTTCAAACCCCCAAATATTTAATCTGAAGAGCACATAAAATGCAACAGTTGTTTCCCAAACACGATTTTCATTCTAAAGGTATAAAAATTAGGAGTATCTGTGAATCCATAACTGTGTCCTTTATTACTTTTAAGATTTCTTAAATCAAAAAGAAAAGTCATCTGAGCCTTTTATTTCAAACTCACTTTCAAAGATAAAAACAAAGAACTTTTTTAGAGTCATTAATAAAAGAATAGGTTTTTCAGTTTGAAAGTGCACTTAATTTTATGCTAATTATACAACACAAAAGTGGCAGGGGGGAAAGTTGCTATGGCCCTTGTAAGATACAAGAAAAAAATTTAACATTGTTGAAATCATCAGAAAAAATAGAGTTGTAGTTCATTTCTTTTAATGTTTTGCTATTCTTTCTCTGTGGAAGATCTAAAAAAGTAAGATTCTCCTTTTAGGCTTTATAGCCCTTGCCTGTTGATACAGACACCAAGCTTCTAATTAATAGTGGCCAACATATTTCTTATGTCTAATTCTTACCTAAGGAAAAATGAACTTAAATTCACTTTATATGGTCAATAGAAAGATTATCTTTGTGAATAATAAATGTCAATTCTACTGAGATATGCTTAGTGAGAAATTTTCTGGGTAATTTTTAATAAACTAGTATGATCTTTATCTTCATTCATTTAATTAGTGTATTATAAGTAGAAAAGAACGGTATTTTTTAAATGTACCTTCAAATAAAATTGATTTAAAGGCATCAAAATGTGACTTCATTTCATTGTGTAGTTGCAATGAATATATACAAATGTGAAGAATTTCTTGTACGTGACATTATGTAATAGTACTCATAATTGAAAACAACAAAAGCAAATATAAATCATTTACTTAGCTCTTAGTGTGTTGTGGTCATTCTGCTAAGTGCATTGCAGGAATTGTTTAATTTACCCAATTACAGTAGACACTAAAGAGAGCACAGAAATGAATGGCATAATCCCTGCCCACAAGGGGCATGTACTTGAGTGGGGGATTTAATAGTGTACCTTGGATAATTCTTTTTTTTAATCCATCTGCAGTCCTCTGACAATAAATATTGAAATCAATATTTATTGATTTTAACCTGCAAATGCAGGTTAAAAGTTATGTTATTAGAAATAACAAAATACAAAATCCTTAGTTTAGCTTCCTCACCTGAAAAAAAAAAAGAGGATGGTGAGCTACATTCAATTTCATGTTCCTCTGACCAACATTTATTTCTTGGTTATATGTGCCACGGACATTTCTAACTTCCTTCTCAGTTAAATTTATGTGACACTAATACCTGGCTAATCTCAGAAGACGGATAAGTGTTAGCTTTTTAATTCTTTCCCTGAAAGAGAGGAAAGAAATAGCATCGTGTGATTCTATGCTGATTAAAGCCTGAAGTCATTTCTTAAAGATGCTACTGACTAAAGTGGCCACAGACAATACATAAGTGAGTAGGCATGGCTGTGTTCCAACAAAACCTGAATTACAAAATAGGTGGCTGGCCTCCTTGGATCTAGTTTGCCAGGCCCTGATCTAGGAGAACATCCTAACTCCTCTGTTCATTTTTAGGGCTTTTAGAATGAATTTGTTCATTCAGGTGGTTATTAACAAATATGACACTTTATTTCCTCATTACTTAAAATACTTCTCACTGAGTACAATAAATTGGCACAAGGTCTGAAAGCTGGTGCTTAGCTTATTCTAGC